GTGTCAAGTTACTGGTTGCTGCTAAAATTACCTTTAAAGCGGGAACAAGATGATGTATGTTGTGGGTTTCCCCCTCCCCCATGTTAAGACCACACAAATATAGACCCTCTTATGCCTTTGGTTAAGTAAAAAGATCCCTGTTCAAAACAGCATTCAAGTATATACACTTAAATGTTGCCATGAGTACGAGTGGACTGAATTGAAATGCATGTGCAAGTGTTTTTCTGAATTGGGGCCTACTTTTGGTGATTAATAGGTGTGCCTCATCTGAAGAGAAGTCAAACCAATCAACAAATTTTTTCTTTTAGGGTGAACTGATGGAGTGATAGGATGGAGGAAGGGGGAAGAGGAGTGTCACTTTCAATCTCTAGAGCTCTGTACTCTTTAAAAACAAAGATTAAAGTTTTAGGCATGCTGCACTGTTGTTGCCTCTTTGCCTGCCTGGTTTCTTTCTCTGTGTATTTCTCCTAGCACAAAATAGATGAAGAAGAGTCTTGTGTTCTAGTTTGTAAATCCTTCTGTTGCTCAGAAACATACGCATCCTGTTTTCAGAAGTTGGTGAACGTTTTCCAGGTTTTTGTCTCCTTCAACTTGACACTGGTTCCTTGAACTAAGGAAGTTAGTACTCAAAGACCTTGTAAAGAGAGGACTTGGTATGAAATCATGTTACCCCTTCCCATGTGAGGAGCTACCCCAGAGTTCCTTATTCTTCCAAAAGGCCTGAAAAGAAGTAAGCCACTGATACCATCTCAGCAGTTGCTTGTTTTCCTGAAGGACACTGCTCAACCATAGCTATGGCCTTTTTCTTTAAAGGGTACTAGGGATGTTGTCTCTAATTCTATTCACTTCTGTATGCGGGCACCCTTTTGAATGTTAATATAATCCATGTTCTAGGTTATGACTTGGTTTGGGTTGTGTTCTCTGCTGCACCAAAGTGGAACATCACAAAACGTATAGGGGAAAAGGAAGCCAGCTAAAGCAAAAACAATAACTGCATTTATACTACGGTAATCATACCTAGAAGCCAAAACAGGTAGAAACAGCATCTATGTCTTCTGTTGAAAAACTTCTTCTCTGCTCTTACCCTGAATTCTTGAGTGAAGTTATTCTGGGAGCTGGAAGCAAAAAACGTGCTTAGTTGCGGCTAAATTTGAGTCTCAGAAATGTTCTTCTTGGTATAGCATCGTCCATTAACTACTCTCAGCTCAGCATAGGCAAGTATTAAAGTGCACTGCAGGTGCAAAGAGAATTTATGAACTCTGCCAGAGGAGCAGAACGTAACTAGCTCTGTTAATGAGGGTTTGAGCCATGTCTTGGCATTGGCTGAGACTTATTTCATGGCGCTGCAAAAGCAGTTGTTTCAGTAATAGTTTTCTGCATGGATTTATATAGACGGGAAGCGTACAGAGCAAGAAAAAGCAAAACCTCAGTTTGTTGTATGAGCGTAGTCTACAACATCTAAAACAATCAGCTGGCTAAAGAGGCCAGGTAAGCTGTATTGGCTCCAGGTTCTTCATTACAAGCAGTATAGCATAAGGCTTTTGTGATCTGGTTCCTGCCAATTGCAGCAGTGCAGCTATTGTTCTACTGTTTAGTTTATCTTGGAAAACGTGCTTCTGCTGCGTTTTACAGAAACGAGATGCTGCTTTCGTTAAGAGCTAAAACTGAAGACGAAGTATAGCAGGTTCTACCTGAATGGTCTAGCTCACGAGTGATTTGCGCACTGGAGTTGCCTGTAGCAAGACTGATGTTTGGTCCAGTTAAATTAATAACTTCCACCAGTGCAGTAGCCAAAGCATCTCTTTTGTTCCAAGGTGATAGTTTGTGGAAAGGTGGCTGCAGGACTGTAACAGCTCCTCTTTGAAATATAACCCAGTTCGATGCATAGCCGTGTCAGTTGGACATCTGTGAAAGTCTTGGGACAAACTTCCTCCGATAAAACAGTGCATCGGCTTGCTTGTGCAATGTATGAGGTTTGTTTTTCTCTTTCAAGTAATGAGATATATATATATATATATGCAGGTTTATTTTGGAACGAGACTCGAGAGAAAAATAAAGGGAACACTTTTTTGTTTAGCAAAAACACTTCCTGAAACTGTTTGCTCACCCTATGAAATAAGAGTTTGCTTTTGGGCTTATTTTCAAAGGCAAACCTCTACCTTGGGCAATTGGACCTTATTTAAATGAGCAAATTTTTTCAGGACCTGAGCGAGTTTGAACAGTTTGTCTGGGAAATGCAATGGGTGCAATCAGCCTATGGAGCAGGTGGAAATTCCTGCATCCTGACACTTTCCCATCCTTAGGTAACGTTTTCAGAAGCCCTGAAAAGCTGTGCTGCTGAAAAAGTATTCCTCCTGGCCTCACTGCTACCTCTGTATACAGTGAATAGATGTGTTGCTTGGGGGGTTTTTTGACTGTATAGTAATTGCAGCATAGAATATTTCGTGGCAGCTCTACATGAGCTGTATTTCTAATTACCTCTTTTTTTGTGTGAGAGTTGAAGCTATTTGACTGTCCTGTTAAGCCCCTGCTTTCTTTCTCCCCATTCCCTCGATGAGCTACTGAACTCGGAGATCATCACTGCTGGTCTAGCGTATGTGCAGGCTCGCTCCCAGCACGTAGTTACTGCGGTAGGTGCAGTGCCCAAGAGCAAGTGCTGTTCAGAATTGAATGGTATTTTAAGCCTCCAGGACTCCTCATAGTCTGGCCCTTTCTTAAGACTCAATCCCTGCTTACTAGGTTGTAGTTCTTCCAGGTGCGTTCCTCTTGCAGTAGCCATCCAGCAGTTCCCTATGCATTTGATAACTACAGAGAGAAAGTGACTTCTTTCATCTTTTCTGCAGCTACCCCTAAGTGACCCGCACCTCTTTCTTATGGATACTGAGGAGGGCATGGTGTTGTCTAGAGCAGGAGTCCAACACTGGTGATCAGGGAGCGTTCTGTGGCTTGACTTTGCTGCTCTCGGCTGAGACTTTTTAATTTCTCCCATGCCTTGCCCGCTATCAGTTAGCATCCCCAGAAGTGGAACTGTTGCACCTTGTTTTCTAGGTTACGTGCAGGTGAGAATAATTCTAAGTCTCCGGTACCTGTCTGCCGTGACTCTTTATACGTTTTTCTTTCTTCTCCAATAGTACGTAGCGGTGCTGCATCTGCATTTTAACGAGCCTCAGAAGTTGCTGTCCAGAAGTGAGTGGGAGAGTCTGCTGCAACCGACAATACTTTGATACCCAGTAAGCCTGAAGTTTGGAGAACAATGAAAGGTTTGCCGGCTCTTCTAGCAGTAGTTCTGATAGAGTCACTATATAAGTATTTGACATGCAATTTCACGTAGTATGAACTGTTTCATCTTATATGAAATGATTAGCTTTCATGTTTTCTGAAATACTTGAGAATGGTTACCTAAGAAAACACTGTAATCAGAAAAAGGAACTCATATGGTGGGTAGAATGTCAATATTCTGATGGTTACTATAAAGTTTTTCATCAATGGATTCCAAAGGCATGTGTCTGTCACACTCAAAAAGCCTCTCACACTCAATCCCAAACCTAAAAAGCTTCTGTTTCAATCTTTATTTTGGCATCAACAGTCAAGAGCAACACAGTTTTCATTAAAGCTTGTCAGTGATTTGGACGTTTTGCTTTTCTTTATTTCCCATTAAAATGGTGTTATGAAACGAAAGGTCATGGGAAATGCTGAAATTTGTCAGAACGTTTTATTCTTTCACAAAATAACTCAGACTGACTTGTTTTAAATGTTAATGAAAACTTCCTGGCAGGTATTCTCAAATGGTAATTGAAATTTTACGTGGCCCAAAAGTGGTTTTCAGGAAAAAGGGACATTTACAATCTGTTGAAAATGTTGGTTGTGAGAAAATTTGCCAGAAGGAGGAATACCATATTAGCTTTAATGTTTTGAATATATAATATTTATGTGTATGTGTGTGTCCAAAAAAGATTTTTCAGTCCTAAATCTGGACTTTTCCTTAGTATCTGAAAGTCTATAAAGGCTTAAAAAAAAAAAAAAACAACAACAACAACTGGGCAATAGTATGATTCTGTTACATTTCTTCAGACACTAATTTTTCTCTATCTGGGTGAAAAAAATCTGTTGACTTTAAGGAAGAGAATGTTTCAATGAAGCAAGCTATCATATTGGTTGCCAAACATCCTAGTCAGAGAGAGGAAAAGTAAACTCCCAAGTATACAGGAATCTAAATCTTCTGAAGGAGCATTCCACAACATTGTCCTTCACCTTATTACCACAAAACAGCTAATAAAATCCTGCACTTTAATAAGGTTGGCTGTAAAAAGACTGTGTCCCACTATTCAAACAATCGAAAACCAGACTTTACAGGTCTTTGATGAGCAACAAGTTAAACAGTTAGCTGCCCAGGTCAGATTCTTTTCTGACCAAGCATGTGAAAATGATAATTTAGGGGTAATACAAAGATGACTTGTGGACAAAATATGGCCACAATTTAATCTAGCAAATGAAAATCTTTGTTGTGTTAACATCTTAATTATTTTGATGGCTCTAGCTCTTAGGAAAAGTGACAGGGAACGTTTCCTACTTTCTTCATGCAAAGACTTTTGCTCTTCCAGAATCATTTCTCTCCAAAATGTGAGTTTTCGCTCCGGTCATGCAATATGTAGACCAGAAATTTTGGGGGGATGCAAGGTCCCTTTAGCTCAGCAAAGTATCCTACTGTTGGGTGCGCCTAGAAATGCGGAACCAGCTCTAATACAGGCTGCTCAGCACTCCCTGGTGCTGACTGAACAGACTAAAAAGGTATTTTATAACTCCTTTGTGACTTCTGATCCAGCCAGCTGGCCAAGGGTGACCCTGAGGGTAGCCGAAGCTGTGCCTAGCTGGAGGGGAGACCTACCAGCCCCACTAGCCCTAGGAGGCCACACTGCGTATCTCCTATT